TTAGTGTTTATGGTACTAGGATCTCTATTGATAGCCTGAGAAGTGAGCAAACAAACATTACCATTAAAGGTTAACCACCCACCTTGGCCATTCCATATAGATGAACTTCATATCTCAAACCAGCAAAAATTGTGGGTTGTCCTATGTAGAAAATCCTTAGCAAAAAGCTAGGAATCCAGTCATAGTCATAGACATTACAGGATACGTAAACAAGGGTAAAGGACGGCAGATGTACAGTATATTCTGAGATTATGTATATCAAGGTTCATATGAAAAATATCCACTGCAGGTAAGAACATCTTTCAGATGATGCGGGATGTAAGATCACAGCTACCAAATGGTTCACCAGGGCATGGTTCTGTCACTTAGACTTCCAATGGATATCAAATCACATATGAGGATATCAAATCACATGAGAACATGAAAATGTGCTCCAGCACATTGCAGAATTCAGGAAGCATTGCCATGATATTTGGTATCTACAGCTTTTCTAGAAGACCATAGGAAGGATGAGTGATGTAACCTCTTTTAGTTGTCACTAAGCTGCTTTGCGTGAGTGATGGGGAGTCTTGTAAATAGTGGGATTTTGCAATGATCTGCTTTAAAGTGGACCTTTACACTCAAAAATCAAATTCTACCAATGCATCCCACTATGTATGACGATTAATAATAACACAGACATGTCAGATGTAAAATGCTGTGATTTTGAAATCCTTACACTTGCAGAACATTCACTTCCTGCTTTGAATGGGCAAAATGACTTCAGTTTGCCAAAGCAATACACACTGGGATTGCCTTTTCATCAGCAGAGCATTGCTGGGAAATCGCAACTGTCATCTCATGAGATCTCAGGGAAAGGCATTTTCCTCCTCTGAGATGATGTGTATGGTCACATGTCTAGTCACAGTGCCAGAAATCCAAGAAGTAAAAGGAGAGCTAGTAATCTGCCCTTAGTAAACATGGCCAGTGTCAGAAGTCTGGGGAAGAAAAGAGAACTAAGGTATGCTAAGAATACAAAGCTGTTAATTATCTAGAAGTATGTGTTTGTAGATTGTCATTACTAAACATTTCTAAAGCTGTGTTTATTGTTGTTTAAAAGATAAGGGTAAAGGTCCGCCTTAAGAACAAAGTCACCAACCAGTCTGACTCTTCTTAACATTGCATCTCTGATGATGAAATAAAGCACAAAAGGCTGTTTATGCCCAACCTTATTCACTAATAACAAATTGTTATAATATATTATGATCCAATTTCTCTTACCATCCTACCATCTTGTGCTCTCCTGCAGCTCAAGTCTGTACGGCATAGAGAGAGGGCTTACTGTGTGATACCCAGCTTCCCTACTCTTGTCATTTCCTGCACTATGAGCGGAAATAAGTGTAATCTAGTGGGTGGGGATGGGTGGAGCTGGGGCCTGCTAGCGTTAAAAGAACAACCCTCTCTGACATCATGACGTTGACCTGTAGTTTAGGGAACACAGTCAACGCAAAGGGTGACAACGTCGCAGTGACACCGATTACAGGAAGTGATTATATAGCCTTGCCAATACACAAATCAGGGATACCTTTTTGACATTAATCAGCAAGCTAGTCAAAACAATCAATGCATTACTTAACATAAGCTGGTTATAAAAGGTCTAGTTGACCCTGCAGTGGGAAGAGCCCTGGTGGGGACCATATCTGTTCTGTGAACACCATAAAGTGCTGTTTTGTTTAAGAAAATATGGTAGTTTGAACCTTCTGACCCCTCTGAGAAACCTACAAAATGGATATTGTTTTCTTCTAATTTACAAATTATCTGTCTTAGGGCCAATATAAAAGTAAGGTCTATGATTTGATTGGTAGCTGCGTGGTTTGGAGCAGGGATATAGTTTTGTAGGCTTGTCTGTGTGTGGACAGGATTTAAGTTGAGTGAGGGAGGAGGAGAAAGAAAACCGGCTAGTCCACTTTTTTTAATAAGTGTACCTATTGTAGCTGTGCCTCTGATACATGTACAGATTTCTGACATTGCAAGCTAGGTCTGTGATTTAGCTGGTAACTAAATAGTTTTTATTTATTTATTTTTGAATCTGCTTAAGCTAATTTCAGTTTATTAGCTGAAGCAAATAAGTATAAAACACACTAAGGCTCCCATTTACAATGGAGGGCACATATCGCTATTTACGTTGTTGGACACTGCAGTATTTACTCCACATTGTGCATCCATTTACATTCCATTCATAAATGCAGGCCATAAAATGGCAGAAAACACTCCATGATTGGTGGAGCAGCTGGACACATGACCTACCTTGACAGGTCATGTGACTGACCTGCCTTCACAATTTTGTTTTTCCTCATTCATTTGGATAGGGCTTTTACTTGCTCAGTCCCAGTGCAAACAAAGCACTAAAGACACTTGTAAAGCATATTTTGTTTAAACCGTGATATGGTCACAGTAAGGCCACTGCTACTACTGCTTTATAACTTATTCACACAGGGCAGTCCATTGCGGTGCACATTATGCAACGCATTAACTTGCCATTCGAAAAGTCAACTCATGCATGTGAATGGGATGCTGAAAACATCACAATGTACCACAGATTTCTTTTGCACCCTGTTCGGTTAGCACAGTGCAACGTATTTTGTGGTGAGCTGCATGCTTGTTCCAGTTCAGTCATTCAGAATTTAAAGGCAGTTAGATTTTGAGTAGGAAGTTGACAATGATAGCCTTCTTGTTTGCATAAAAAAATGTACCTAGCAGAAGATCATTTTTAATGCAGTCTACTGTACATAAAGTGTAAGTGTAACCCTTGCAGGTATTACTACCTCTCACAGAGATCACAGCATTCCTCCTGACTGTATCTTCATATAACTTTCTTCCCCAATCCTACTATCTGTGCAGTAGTCTTTATGTTCAGGGCTATGTTATATTACATAGATCAGCCGTTTGCTTGCCCTCACTTTGTGACAGTTAAAATCCTACTGCTGGAATAATCACGTAGAAACACTGAGGAAATGTTTTTTTTTTCCTGTCTGCAGCAAAAAGATGACATAATTCTCCTACATTGCACCTGTCAGTCTAGACACAATCACTGGCCTGAAGGACAAGGGCTGCATTTTTATTGATAAAAGGAACAGATTTTGTAAATATACTGTCCAATTATAATTTGACAGAATTGTATTAAATTACTGACAGCTTCACGTAAAACTTAATTGCTAGAAAAGAGAGTAACAAAGAGCTATGAAAGTGATTTGATTCTCTCTTTTTTTCTTCTTGTGGCATTAAATACAAAATATGCATAGAATATAGCTTATATCAATTATGCATTTTTCAAAAGTTAAATAAAATACAATGGTGACATGCTTTAATTTACATTTAAAAACTGTTTACCCAAGGATGCATGTGAATCATCAGGTTGTTTGCCTCCTTAAAAATATAATGTAAGAATCCCTGAATGATAGCAGCAGCCTTATTTGATGCATGTGTCAAATGTCTAAATAACACCTCAAAAGATCAATGCCTTTCATCTGGATAGTGTAATGGTGTAAACTTTGTACAAGCAAAGGTGGCGGTATAATCAGAAGCCTAGCAATGATCATTATTTAGGATTTTATCGATAGCCCAAGGGGAAGATTCTCTATTCGTTCTTAAAACTGCACTCTCTAGTAGCATGCCTCAGCAAGCTATCCCTGTGCTTCCTGCTTTCTTTAGAACCTCGCATAGCAGCATGCAGCAATTTAAATATCCAATCAGCATTTACCTGCCTGTGGGTGGCTGAAAATGTAACTCTTATTTGGATGTTCTGTATTAGGCTGCAAGTATGGAGCTAGATGGGACCATGTTCAGTAGGGTATTTATTTAGTTTCACTCTAGTAGATTAGTGCATGCTTTTGCAGTCACTGCATAAGGGGAAGGAGTGATACGTTGGCAGAAAAGCAGGAGCATGCTACTTTTGTGCTCTGCCTATCGATATAGACAGGCCAGTAATATGAAATAGAATATCCTTCTGTACTTTTAGTGTACCCCACTCATGGTAAAAGAGACATCACCATTAAATTCACCAATGCACTTTAATTTGTTACACTTTCTATACGACATGCAAATGTGAACTTCAGCAAGACGCAACAAGCCCTGCTCTGCCATAAATACTGCGTTATTCTTGTCAAAGTAACCTAGTCCTGCTCTGGGCACAGCTACATGTGTTGCTTGCCTAACCTCTACAGTGTTTGTGTGTGTGTGTGTAGCGCTTGAAAGTGTGCCAGGGACCTTTTGTATTGCTTTGTATATTGCCCTGTTGCATGTGCACCTTTCCCTTTTTTGCCAGTTTCAAGTAGATCAGGGTGACTGCTATTGTTGCTCTTTTTGGATTGGGAGCAGACACACACTAGAAGTCTTAAGCTGCCTGTTTGGACTTCTGGTGTGTTGCTGTATCTTTAAGGAATAGAGGGCTGAATCCAGGTAAGCCTGCTTTCCGTTTGTGCATTGTTATTTATGTCATTTCTCGTTTAGAGTTAGGGACCACACTTATCAGAAGTGTCCTGGCGTGGCAGTGGGGTTTCCATGTGTATTTGCAAATGTATGCAACAAAATCTTGTTTTTAACCTGAACAGTTGAAGCAGTTTTTTTTTTTTGTGTGTGCTGGCTAGCTTCAAAGTGTGCCAGGGACCTTTTGAATTGTTGTGTTTATGCACGCACGCATTCGAATTCTTTATGTACTGTAGCTTTGCAAATCATTATAATGTTGTCATTGTTGTGTATGCTTTTATATATCTAAGAGTAGCTAACAAACTATCAGGTTTCTATTCAATTTTAAATTCTTTTTTTTCTGGGAGCATCTACATGTTGCCTCTGTTAATAATAACATGCTTCTTTGTATTGACACATTATTCTTATTTAAATAGCAGGTAACGCAGTCTATATTTCTCTTTCATAGGTTGCTCCAGATAAGAAAAGGATTGGTCTTCGGAGCCACTCATTTCTATACCATTGCTAACAGGATTCATTACGGAGTGTCTAGCATTGTGAGGTTTCCTTTGTTGTAGTTGCTGCCCACCGATTTATTCTTCATTGAACATTTACTGTATTGCAAACGGATTTTGTGTCAGGAAAGTAAAATAATAACAGAAAGCATTGTTGTAAAAGATCATTTCTACATTTATTGAAAAACCTCCTGCATAAAGGGAGGTTAAAGAATGATGATGACCAGCACTACCACTGACCATGTGAAAATGGAGCCTCCATTTTATCATGAGGATACTCTAAATTTGCAAGATTTTGCTCAGATTTCAGGATACAGTGGAACTTCTCCAGGGGGGACCTCAACAAATCACCAAATTAGTGGAGGTGAAACTGCTATCCGATACACTTCAGAACATAAATTAATGAGTGCTAATATTATAATTCAGGCTACTAACCTGAAAAAGAAAGGCTTGGGTGTGATTGCAGCAGCCTCCGTTCCCCCATCTGTAATCCCTGATGGTTTCTCTGAGGTGATAACTCGGGGCACTGATGCACTGAAATTAATGCAAAGTGGGAGCAGTAGACTTTCTGATTCTACCAGGGGTAGTCGTGAAGTTGTGGTTGGAAATAACCTCAGTCCAGTACCAGCTGCAGAAGGTGGTGCCATAGTGCTGGCAGCTGGCAACAGTACAGCTAGCAATAACACTGGTAACACTTCAACAGATGTGTCTCTACTTCCTTCAGTTTCTTCAGCTGCATTGAGCCTACTTAAGCTTTCTCCACCAGAATTAGAGCACCTCTTAATTCAGGCTGCCGGCCCTGGCCTTTCAGCTACATCAAGCAGCAATCCCAGTGCTGCTCCTACTGTCCCTCTACAGCAGGGTACAATTGTGCCAAATACCACAGTTCCACATCCCTTTCTGTACCGCAACCAACCGATTATCACACAAGAGCAGGAGGGCTTTGCAGATGGCTTTGTTAAAGCATTAGCAGACCTACACAAACAGAATCAGCTGCTGGGAGCACCAATTTCTCCGTCTGCTCTTGCCACAAGTTCCCCACCTTACCCATCTCGCTCACTGCATCCAGCCGGAGAGGTGCCAGTCTACACAAATCTTAGCAACTTTAACCCTACAGCAGCTGCCGCGCAGCTTAGTCCTCCGCTCCCACAGCCACCTCCTCCAACCTCCTATACTGGTAATTCTGCCAGTGCCACGCCCACAGTACAGCTTCACTTTCCTGTACTCAATCGCTTACATACAGTAAGAGGTCCTCTGGATGAACCACAAACAGTACCTGATGTGTCACAGTCTGGGGCTCCTGCAGCTGGTAGTAGTGATGCAAACACGCCCCCTTCACTTTCACCAATTGATCTAGAGACTCAAGAGAGGATCAAAGCAGAAAGGAAAAGGTTGAGAAACCGAATTGCTGCCTCTAAATGCCGCAAGAGGAAACTGGAACGTATTGCACGCCTGGAGGAGAAAGTTAAAATGCTTAAGTCTCAGAACTCTGACCTAGCCTCTACTGCCAGCCTCCTGAGAGAACAAGTGTCTCAGCTCAAGCATAAAGTCATGAACCATGTCACTAGTGGTTGTCAAATAGCCGTGGCCAAGGCTTCACCAGGTTCACAAGCTGATGACAGCTCAAGCTGCTAAAAAAGTTAGAGGGAAAAAAAATCAATACTACCAATGGCAGAGACTTCCACAAGCAGTAACAGTGGAGCCAGTCTTGTGAAGAATGGGCTACAGTATTTCCTTAATTTGGATAACTTGCCTTGCTCTTAATTTTGTTTCTTTTCCTAAGGCAAGCTGATTGAGAGGAAAAATACGGTCATCAGAAAGTGAAATAATTTTGATGGAATATTAGAGTTGCACACGGAATAGCATATGGCTTATGACAAGGCTTTAGGTTGAATATCCTCCGGTCTACAACCTCGAGGGCCACTAAAGAATTGTCACCAAGTTCACTGTGTGCTGAATGATTTATTTTCTATAGCATGGCACTTTACAAAAAAAAGGAGACCTACCATCTGTTGCAAGTGTATGGTTGCCTTAAGCAGCAAAATAATCAAAGGATTATAACAAATTTCAATGCTACGGAGTGACAGTGAGCCTGTAAGAATTGGCTTAGACAACACCACCCCAGACTGCAATTAGCTTGTTGGACCTGTTCAGATCTATTTCTTTACAAACAGCAACTCTGAACTCTATACAACAGGAAAAAGGATATAAATAAGGTTTAATGTGGCGGATCAATGAGCCATTTCTTGTAGTTGTTGAGAAACAATATCAACGCCACTTATACGAAGCCTGGGGGTGACTGGAAAAATGTAAATGGAATTCTTGCTTATGCAAACTTTTTATTTTAATGTGCAGTGCCAAAGCTTTCTTTGTTGGGTTCAAATGAACTATATGATAAAGCAGGTATTTTGAAAAAAAAGAAAAAGAGTGGGTTAACAGAGAAATTCACTTTAAAGAACTGCCAGGTTTTGTATGATTGGTTTTTTTTGTTTTTTTTCTTTCAAAGCATTCTTTTGAAAATAGCTAAAATGCACTCTAAACCTTTTAGTTGTACAAATGTAAAACAGCCTTACCAACATTCTGAAACATTCTCGCCTATGTGAGTTTGTAACGGAGTTATCCGATATAGGTCACAATTATGAAAATGTATGTCATAACCTCACTAATACCAGTAGGTACAAGTATTGTTTTTTTAAATGGCAAAAAGTAATACAGTGACATGCTTTGAAATAAAAAAAATAAAAAAAGTGGATACAATTATGCTTTACATGCATATGTGGTTGATTAAATAGAGCTAAGCCGTTGCTAATGCACTTAAAGAGTTGTTAAACAGTTAACAACAAAGAGAAACCAGATATTTTTCTCAGACATAATAATTAATGCTTTTCTGAAATGTATTTAAACGTTATTGGAACAATAGATAGCGCTTAGACTGAAACCTATATTTTATTTATTGCTATCAGTCTTAAGCAAGACACTGAGTATTTTTTTGTCTTAAGCTTTCTGGATATTGCACTAAATGTATTTTGTATAGTTAAGTAATGTGTATTACTTGCCAATCAATTTATTTAATGTTTATTTAATTAAGAAATAGGGACCATATTGTTGTTTTTTTTTTCTGTCTGTGTGTAAAATGTGGGTTTAAGCACATGGTCTTGAGATCAAAATTCTATTTTAAAGTACTGAAAGAAAGTTTGTTATATAAAAGTTAACTTTTTAAATGTATGCAGACAGATACCAGTATTTGTGCTAGTGACATATGATAATACCTATGCTTTTAATATAGTTTGTGATCATTTAATGAAAACAGGGATTCCTAAAACATGGGTCAGTCCAAATAATATCAGTTGCAGTACCATTCCCTTTCATTGAGCATTCTGGAAATTCCAGATTCATGTAGTTTGATATGGTATATTTTCTCATTAATTTATAGACCCCAGTATTTAAAAACCATATTCGTATAATTCCTCACCAGAAAAGATTAGGTTCCCCTGGCCTATAACTTTATCCATATTTTATCTGGAACAGTTTTAAACACTCTGAAATAAGATAAGTTTTTATGCTATATATTTATTTTATAAATATAAATGTCATTGTATTTTTGCTAGAATTGAAACGTGTATATATATAAAGCTATCCGGACATTGCACGTTGTATTCAATTTGCAATGAAGACATTAATGCCCATAGAATGAGAGGGAATAACTTGCACATTAACTTTAGCTCATTCCAACTGCCTTTTTCAGTGATGTTCCTTTTATGCTGTGGGCATTGAAAATTCTATTTATTTATTGAAACTTTTACCTTTTTGGGTTTAAGTCGAGACATCTATTTTTGTAATAAATTGTTTTAGGAGGCTAACTTTATAAGAGAGGAACAAGTGGTACCTCTTTTTTGCCTCTCGGTTTTTTGTAATGTGTACATTCCAGCTGGCTGTGCAGTACTGTATGTCATTTAGATCACATAGCAGTACTTTAAAAAGGTGACACGTTAAGGGCTCGCAACTCTTTTGAATCACACTTTGTTTCATAGTAGGCATTTGGGGAAAGAAAAAAAATATGTGTTTCTTGCAGAAGATGTGATATTTAATGCAGTCACCATGAATACAAATGTAAAAAAAAAAAAAAGACTGCAACATTTTAGTTCTCTTTGGGAGATTTGTTGTCATGAGCTAGGATGGTGTAATTGTGATATCTGTACTATGCTACACAAACAAAGGGAAGTTAGACATGTTTTGTGTTCTTTCATGATGCATAGGTTTTTTTTGCACAATGGTGTTATGAAAGAAAAGTTTGTGTATTCAATGTTGTGTGTTTTTTTTTTTTTTTTTTTTTGTTAAATGAAAAAATATACAGTTGCTTGTGATACTTTTGTATACTAGCTACCTAGCTCACTTCATGTTTACCTATAGTGTAATTTTATTGTCTCTTAAATTTGGTGAGTAAAAGCAATGTTTTAATGTGGTAGATGTGAACAACTATTTTGGCACTTGTGTTGTGCTTGAGATCACTGGTTGAGCTTGTACACCCCTTCCCATGCTTTTCTATCGTAACAAACTTCAGAGAGCAGTAGTATTTCAGTTGCTTTGCAGGTAGCTGTTTCACTCCTAATTATGTTCTCTATTAATTGTTGTAGTAGTGGATCTCGGAGGTTCATATACAAATGTTTGTGTGATTTGTATGAGACAAAGTGATCTGTCATACTGTCAGGGCATTTACCAGTACAATCATGTGGTGATAATTAAAGGAATTTAGCCATTGTATGTCTGTCTTGTAGCCTTTTCAAAGAAAAACATAAAAGAAGATGAAAGTTTAGTTTGTGTTGTGTGTACTTTGTCCGACAGCTGCCGAGTGGACGTATGGGGGTTAAATTACTAAAGGCAAATGGGCTGTTCACTTTTGCAAAGGAAGTTGCACTTTGCAGGGAAAGTTTCCCTTAGTATAGTGAATGTGGTGAAACTTCACTTCGTATAGAATACCCAGTTAAAATAAAAAATACTGCATTTTTTTCTAAACATGATTGGATGCTGGAAGTCAGCAGAGCTTCACCTCATTCACTAATCTAAGGGCAAACGTCCCCTGCTAAGTGCAAATTCTCTTGCAAAGTGAACAGCATATTTGCCTTTGGTAAATCAGTACCACATATTTCTGCATATTTCTAAGGCATTCATAATGACACCGCTTATGCAGATCTCCGATTATGTGAAGCCCAAGTCATTTTATCCCTCTTCAGATGGCCTCTATTGAGAACTATACCAAAGCTTTTTAAAGTGTATGGTTGAATGAGACAAGGATATATTTATCTTCCTGTTCTTTTGGTCACGATTGATATGGCTGTTGTCAAGCACTTCCACTTTCAGCATGCTGTGCCTATAGAGAAGGGCCAGTGTTAACATCATGCTTGTTTGCCTCAGATTTGTCAGTGGGGGGATTTCTTTCTCCACTAACTTCAGGATATGAGGTAGTCACAGCTTTTTTACAGATGGCAATGCCTACTAAAGACAAAATTAACTAATACAAATATATTATGGTTTAGATAGTTTGTAAATGGTGGGTCCATCACAAACTAAATTGTTTTGAATTGTTGTCAGACCACTGAATTTGCAGTTGGCTACGTGTATATTTCTTTGGGACTCTTAAAGTTGGAAACTTTGGAGCCCCAAGCTATACAAGTGATCAGTGGTATTAAGTCAGCCAGAATTCACCTATAACTAAGATAGATGACTCCTCGTCTGGGTAGTAGGTGCCTTCATGTATTTTCTGCTTATTTGCAGAATGCCTCAGTTGCCAAAAATCCCAGTCTTCTCTGTTATGTCCAGATGCCAGTGCCTATTGGCTAGTGAGGCAACCTGACACATTTCTGGCCTATAAGTGGGAAGAAATATGGTTGCCAATTGCTTTTTAAAGCACCCCATTATTTCAAGCTACTGGGTCACTCTACAAAGAGATGAAATGTGTACAGGCACATAAAGATGCCTGCTACACAAAGACGAGGCATCTTTCCATCTCTAAACTAGGGCTGCAACAACTAATCGACATAATCGATTATAATCGATTATTGAAAAAGTTGTCAACTTTTTCAATAATCGATTAATCGGCTTCCGATCAGTTGGTCCCATTCACGACTCCACACACGCTGCGCGCCGCACCTCCTCCCCACCTCACTCAACTCCAAAGTTTTGGTTACTTTTTTCTGCTTTGTGTACAAGCAAGGTTTCCAATTCTGTCTTCTAAACCGTACACATTTTGCGGATTTAGTTTCAGAGACACTGACAAATTGACCACTGATCCATATAATGGATGGATTTGTCTGTTCTTGCAGGCAGAAATGCAGAACAAACACTACAGATGAGAAAAGGAGGCATATCAGAGTAACTGAACCCAAGAACAACAGTTTGATCAATTGCAACTTACAAGTGTTTTAAAGTGACACTAAACTCAGGTGTTAAATCTTAAAAATGCATTCAAATACCTTAACTATTTAAAAAAATTATCTTATTTGTTTATTACTCAGATGTAGATCCTCAAATCTTCTCTGAAGTGGTGCTGACACTGCCCTTCCTTCCTGTGGGTGGCTACTTTTGTTCCCCATGGTCCCTGTGTGTGTTGTAAAGTAGCCACCGCTTCAAGCTCACTCCTGTATTAGACTACAATCTCATGTTGAGTTTACTCATTTGTATTGAGATTGTAGTCTATCACAGGAGTGAGCTTGGAGCAGTGACTACTTTACAACACACCCAGGGACCATGGGGAACAAAAGTAGCCACCCTCCAGAAGGAAGGATAGTGTCAGCACCAATTCAGAGATTATTTGAGATATACAGCCGAGTGTTAGACAAACTAAATTTTTGTTAATGGGGTACTTGAATACATTTTTAATGTTTTTAAGTGACGCTAAACTGCTGAGTTTAGCGTCACTTTAAATGTAGTGATTGCATTAGATTTCATTTTTTGGCAAGTACAGAAAATACTTAATAATTTTGTCAGAAATGCAGTGTCTTTTTCACTTCCTGTGAGCTAAGCAGACAACAATGTTACCTTTCTTTTGTAAACTACAAATACGCCCATGTAATAGAAAAGAACAAAGGCAGACATGTTTGAAGTCCATCCTGGGTAGCA